ATCATGGCATACGTTTGTCAAGAAGGTTGTCAAAACTATGCGAGGAGATAAATTTTGCATTTTTTCAGGTGCACCAACAAATGTTCAACTTTATGATTGTCTTGTCCAACAACCACTCGGCATGTGGCTTCTTCGGCCCAGTGCTCGCCACCTGTTGTTTCAAGGACGAAATGGAAAACGCCGACTGGGGAATATCTATGGCTCTTACATTATTGGGTTCAGATGCCGTTCTCCTTTCTCAGCTTCGTTGTTGTGTTCTTAACGCTGATGTAAACAAAATACGAAGACTTCAGCGATGATAATAAAGTTCAGAGGTTGTAAAGAGCAAGTTAGGGTCTCTTGATTTTTGTTTTTAAAAATTTATCACCCCCTTGAGTCTTTTTTTTATGGTTGTAGATTAGATTGTTGTTGTTAAAATTTATAGCTAAAACAAAAATTATGTGAAGAGTAAAAACCAAAAGAGCGACTAAACATATCTATCTATATTTTATAATTCAATTATTTTTGCTTAAGTACAGGCTTGTACTTTACATGTTCTTTAAACTTAAAATCAAATGAGGTCCAATCTATTATACAATTAAAGAGTTACTTTTTCAAAAAAAAAACCAGAAAACTAACTAAAATTGCTGCAGAAAACGTTAAAAAACTGCAATGTTATCCTCTTCTTCCCCAAAAAAGACACTAGATTGTTTCAGACAAATTTGAATGTAAAGCATCATACAAGAAAACAATGATGTTAAGATTTAAAAAACCGTTGCTAGCGAAACACGAAAAACCAGTCAGCCAATGAAACTCCTTAAAATTGTCATAAATTTAGGTAGGGCTGAAAAAGATTGTTATTTTACCACAGTCTTCTTGAAATATATCCCCGGTTAAAGTTTTATCTTTTAAATTTTCATACTATCAGCCCAAAATTTAGAGCTTGTCATAATTTCATCAATCAAAAACTGTTCAAGACAAGTTAAAGTTCAGTCAGAACTTTTATGATTTTGCCCTGATACGAGCAATCTTGCTTGTATAGTAATATTTTTGCTTGACCTACCCAGCTCGGTGAAATTTTTTTTCTTACATTGGCCAAGAAGAAAAATTAGAAGACAAGTGCATCATTATAAATTTCAAGAAATAAAAACTTCTTAAACAAACAATTATAGTATTTAAAAGGGCTGAAGTTTTTTTGTTCTTAACCTTGCCTTTCTTTTCTTTAGATGATTTGAAGTCTGGTAGGATTCTATCTTCTCTTTAATCAGCTAAGAGACGTAAGCCATGATTTATTGGCGCTCTTGGTTTGAGATTTTTTTTAACTCCTCGGTGAAATCAGATTGAAGGAAAGGGTTTTTCAATTTGTGAAGCCGGCCCGTTTGGATTGAAAATAAGTCATTCAGATAACCAATTTTGTGATTTGGAAGTGTAAAGAGGTCAAGCTAACTTTTCGACTTCAAACATTAGTAAGAAGTTCAAACTAAATTTTATTGTTCCGATTTTCGAAGAAACTAAGGTGTATATAGACTTGGGGTGGTTTCTTTTGTTTGACACCTATTTTCAAAATTATTATGCCATGATTCATTGGCACTTTTCAACTGAGGTTTGTATAATTGTTGAACAAAGCCAGATTGACGGAATGGGTTTCTTTTGATTGACACCTATTTTCAAAAGTATTGTTCTACTGGGACCGATCCCCTTGATCATCGTGGTACCCGAAGGGTCTCGCTGATATCTATACTAAACTTCCTATTAGGAAGCTTTGAGTTGAGTCTATCTAAACTGTTTGTTATATATTTTGATGCTGAGGAAGTAAATCAACCCGCTCAACAAAAGCCTTACAAATTGTTGAAGAGTGAGGGAAACTAATTGGTTTTTAAATTCTATATGTGGTTCAAATATTAACGATTGAAGTTTGACATTATAAGCTTAAAATTAAATCTTGTCAAAACTTCATGAACCATAAATTAATCAACACACTTTAATTGGCGCTCGGAGCATTCAACTTTTTACCCTTCTACGAGTTGTCTTGTTGAAACAAAGTAATTTTTGCGCTCGACCTCTTTTAGAAAAACGTTCGTTCGCTGTAAGTTTTTCCATCCTTCTCTGTAGATATTTCTACTTTTTGTAGAGTTATTTGTTTTCTTCAATCGGCAAGCAAACTTGTCATTATTTTACTGGAACGATCTCTTGATCATCGTGCTGCCCGAAGGGTCTCGCTGACTCCTATAATAATTGTTTGATACGAAGGCGTTGAATGAGTCTATCCAAACTGCTTTCTTTATACTTTGATGCTGAAAAAGTAATTCAACCCGCCTCACAAAAGCGTTACAAACTGAAGTGAGGGAAGCCAATTGGTTTTTTTTTTCAAATTCTATGATGATTCAAGTTTAAACCATTAAAATTTGATATTATCAGCCTAGATAAAAGATTATCAGCCTAAAAATTCAAGGTTTTGCCCATATACGAGTTGTCTTTTTGTGAACAAAGTAATATTTGCGCTCGACCGCTCATTTGAAATACGCTCATTCGCTGTTAACTTTTTTTTCTTCTCTGTGGATATTTAGTGTTATGTGTTATCTTTAAACCGGTATCAAAATTCAGCCATGAATTTTTTGGGCTCTTCATCGGAGTTTTTGTAAAATTTTGGATTGAATTCAGTTGATGGAATAGGTTTTTGATATTTCATCTCGAAAGTGTAGAACGCATAGTCATTCTTTTTCTGATCAAGAAACTGTTGTGGCTTCCTTGAAGATATAACTTCATAACCGAATTATAATCAATTGATGAACATCCTCAATGATTGGTATTTTTTACCGTATACATTAATAAATCGAATATAAGCCGACGAAGTGAAAATTAGAAAAAAAAGCTCGCTCATTGATCTTTTGAGTTTTTGATTATCCTGCGTCAACATTTTCATTTAAAACTTTCAAAAACCTTCAGGTGTCTTTTTTTCTAGGAAAGAACAAGAAAAGTATAATCAAAATTGAATTTTTTGTGCGTTGAATTTTTCAACATTTTCTGAACTATTTTGCACAAAAAAACAGCTGTGTTTTATGTTTTCTTTAGTTCTTTTTTAGATTGGAGGTGTTTTCATGAGAAAAACAAATTTCTTTTTAGTGTCTTTGGAGTTTGTTTGTGATTTTTTTTAAAGTTAACATTTCAAATGTATGATAGATCGGAGTTGATCTGATTTTAAGTTTTTAAAAACACGTGAAGTATATGCCTGTAATTAAGCAAAACGTTAAATATAGATAGAAATAAACTTTCGCTCAATTAATTCTTGTTCTTTACTAACTTTTCTATGAACTATAATTTAGATCAACGACGATTAAAATACAACCAAAAAAGAGACCCAATTAGGATGATAAACTACTAAAAAACAAACTCAAGAAGCAAACTCAGAAAACATTAAAATTGTCGTTTGTCCATTTGAGGAAAAAAAATTTAATATAAAAACTGGTCTCAACAATTTGATTGTTTAATGGATCGGCGTTGATCCAAAGAGCTGTATTCGTTTGTTGTTAATCTTTCCTTTTTCCATTTTTGCCTGAATCTTCACCTGATAATTGTATAATTCTGGATTGCAGTCAGGTTGATGGAAAGTGAGTTTTTGATATTGTTTCTTGAAAGTGTAAAACTATAATGCTTTCTTTTTTGATCAATCAACTGCTGTGGTTTCTACCAAACACTTGAAGATGCAGTTTCATAGCAGACTTATTATCCATTGTTAACATTCTAAGTCACTGTTTTTTTTACCGTACACATTTCGAAATTGAGTTTGTTTCTTTTCCCACCGCAATGAAAAATAGAAAAAAATTACAATTGCAAAATCGTTGATCTTAAGAATTCCATGATTCTCTTCCGTCAAAATTTGCATGAAATTTTTTCAACAATACTATGTCAATTTTTTCTAGCGAAGAAGAAAGGAAATAAATGTTGCACTAAAATTTTTATCCTTTGGAAATTTTTAAAGTTTCTGAAGCAATTTTAGTTGATTAAATAGCTGTTTTTCTGGGCTCTTCCTTTTTTTTGAAACTATTGGATTTTCATAGTCAAATATACCTCAAAGACCAAGCGACTTAAAATCTAAAACCAAAAAACCTAGTTTCTGAGTACGTTATTCTGAGAATTGTTGGTGTGTTTATCCACTTCCTATTGACTTTAAAATTAGTTTTAGTTCTAGTATTTCGATTTTCTTAGGCTGCTGAGAACAAAAAAATTTCAAATTTTTGCTTTAGAGCTAATCAAAAAAATTTCACTGAAAATTCTCCGAGAGCGGTTAAAATGCAGACGGTTCTTTCAAAATTCTGTCCAGGTTTACGAACAGAGTCTTGCGTTTGTTAATTTTGATAGTCAAAAACGCGTCAACTCCGGAAAATTTTCGCGCTTGGAATCTAAAACTGTGTGAGTGTAGGTTTACGAGAAAAATTGTAATATCCAAATTTTTTTTTCCAAAATCTTTTCGATTTTTTTGTACTTCCAATTGACGAGCAGCTGAACTATCAAAGCTTTGTCCTGATACGAGCGAGGAAATTTTGTTTCTGGTTATTTGCATGGATTAGAAATGTAGACATGAAACGTAGAGAAAATTGAAATCATGCATCTAGTCATTCTCAGTGTTTTTTCAGCTTCTGAACTTGAATTGAATACGAAATGTTCAGAGCAGTAAATTGATGATTGAACTGTCATTTAAATACGTTTTTGAGCTCAAAAATGCATTGAATCAGAAATGTTCACATCAGTAAATTGACGAGCAGCTGGACAACCACAGCAATAAAATCAACAATTCAAAAATACAAGAAAAACGAAACAAAAAAACAAGAAAGAAAAATATGGTTTGCATGTTTAAGTTGGGTACCCACGAATACTTAACTAAACAAAATATATGGAGCTCTCGAGTCTTCTTATCATGAGTTTATAATGTTTAAAAAAAATGTTGTAAAATCAACTTCGCTTTCTAATTAAAAGCACTTGTTTTAGCCAATTACATATATTTGTTTCAAAACATGTTTTGTTTTGAAAAGTTGTGTTCTAAAAGAATTTTTGTTTTCATTATCTATGAGTAGCCAGATTAGATTTTTTCAATATCTGACTCATACGTCGTTTAGTTTCATATTGTATATAATATTCAGCATTTTTCAATTGGAGAACTGAAAAAAAACAGCTCGTCTTAGCTTTAAAATGCTTTACCATAAATTCAACAAAGGGATCTGGTTCCTTGTCGCAGGATGTCTGCAACTGGTCTGTATTGCGGTTCTCTCTGGATCCATCGCAACTACAAAGTACAAGAAAGATGCCGCAATGCACTATGGACAGTTCATAAAGTGTCCTTCGTCTGGACCCCCTGGCTGCGCAAACGTGACCGATCTGGCGATTCTGGAGGTGTCCAAGGTGGCCACGGCAATCCAGTATTGCCTGGCAGTGTTCCTCTGCTCGTATTTGTTTCAGTTTGGAATCCTGATTCTGACAGGCAGTGCTAAGTATTACTTCTCGGCAGAGGTTGGTGAGCTTTTAGCCCCGGTCGATACCTAGTAGGGAACCAAAACAAATTGACCAGTTTTCATATTCTTTTACTTAGGGCAAAATTTGAAAGACCTTGAGTGTCAATAGTATAATTTTTTTAGAAAGCCACTTTTGATAATTGGTTTATAATAGATCCTCACTGGATTTGAGTCGTTGCTTTTTCATACTGAATGTTCAGTTAAGCATATCTACTAACTTCAAAACTATTTTCATAACCAATTCTGTCTAATTTTGATTGATTTTTATGATCAAGAAGGCTGTCAAAATTATGCAAATAGTCAAATTTTGAATATTTACAGGTGCATCACCACGTGTTCAACTTCATGATTGTCCTGTCCTACATTCAGTCGGCATGTGGCTTCTTCGGCCCAGTGCTCGCCACCTGGTGTTTCAATGACGAAATGGAAGACGCCGACTGGGGAATATCTATGGCACTGCATTGGGTCCAGATGCCGTTCTCCTTTTTCAGCTTCGTTGTTGTGTTCTTAACGCCGATGTACACAAAAGACGAAGACTTCGTAGATGATAATGAAATTCAGAAGGTGTAAAGGACAAATTAGCCGACGAGAAACTCTGTACAGTTTATACATTAAAACATCATACAAGGAAACAATGATTTAGAATCAGATAAAAATGATTCTAAACTAATAATGATCTGTAGTTCCCATTTCTTAGTAGATACACAAATGCGTGAGAATATGTAACTGCTTGGTAAATAGAAATTTTATGGTTTCTTCTCCACCAAAAGGAAAGTATGCGAAGAGAAACGTATTAATAGAAGAAACAAATGTTTTTATTCAGGGTCTCTTGAGGTTCCAAGTAACTTATATTTCTAAATGAGTCTCAGTCTGATTGTATATCAGATCGGCGTTGATCTGATTATAGTTGTAATATACATTTTTGCTCAATTAAGTTCTTCTACCTTACATAAGTTTTATTTTAGATAGAAATTAGATTAACGACAATGTATTATGCAACCAAAGTGAGAGTCAATTAGAAAGGTAACCTTCTAAGAAATGAACTCAAGAGTCCCTAAGAAATCTTTAGTTTTTTTTCATTAAATTGCTTACGTTTCCGAAAAACAAATAAATATTAATGTTTTTCCTTGGGGCAAATTTTATGATTTGCATTTAAGTTTAAACGCAGATTCTTCTAAGATTTAAGAAACCAGTGCTTGCGAAACACGAAAAACCAGTCAGCCAAAAAGCTCCAAAAATTGTGAATTTTTTTGATTTAGCGCTGGAAAAGATAGATATTATACCGCCGTCTTCTCGAGGTTTTGAAACTGAAAAAGTCAGGTTGAAACGTTTTAAGTTTTTAAACATCATGTGAAGACGGTTCATTTCAACTTCAAATGAGTCATTCAGATAATGCATTAGTTGAACTTAAGTAGGAAACTCAAATTGATTTTTTTGTTCTGGATTTCAAAAAAAAGTAAGCATTAAGTATACTCGGAACGGTTTTTTAATCAGATGATTTTTTAAACTATTGATACTCTTTTGGGATTAATCCCTTTATCTTAGTGGTCGAAGGGTCGCACTCACCATTATACTTAGCTTTCTATGAAAATGTTGTGAAATGAGTCGAGTTAAACGGCTCATTTTGTACTTTGATGCTTAGTTTAGTGTAGTTTTTGATGCGGCAAAGTGTAGTTTTTGCCGCACCACAGGAGAATTCCAAATTGAAGAGAGGCAATCCACATGGTCGTAACAATTCAATACCCGGTTGAAGTTTTAACACTTAAAATTTGGTATTATCAGTCTAAAATCCGGGTTTTGTCAATATTCCATTAACCAAAATCTACTTCAGACAAGCTCACGATCAGTTGGAACATTCATGGTTTTGCGCTGTTACGAAAATTTTTGTTTGTATAGCAGTCTTTTTGCTCGACATTTTTTGATGTACACAGTTTTGCCATACACATTTTTTGCATTGGCACAGAAAAAAAACTGGAAGACAAGTGTATCATTGTTAATTCCAAGAATTAAAAACTTTCAAAGAAAAATTACATAGTTAAAAGGGCTGTATTTTTTTGTTGTTAACCTTTCCTTTCTTGTCTGCACAGGATTTTAAATTTAGAAGGACTCGATCTTTTCTTTGATCAGCTAACAAACGTAAGCAGTGATTTGTTGGCGCTCTTAGTCTGAGATTTGTATAACTCTTGAGTGAAGTCAGATTTTTGGAAGGGGTTTTTCAGTTTGTGAAGCAAGATCGTTTGAATTGAAAATAAGTCATTCAGATAATGCATATTGTGATTTGGAAGTGTGAAGGGTTTGAGTAAATTCTTGGATTTCAAACATAAATAGGAAGTTCAAACTAAAGATTGTCGTTCCGCCTTTTGAAGAAACTAAGGAGTTTATAGGCTCGGGGTGCTTTTTCAATCAGACTATTTTTAAAAATTATTATTCTAATGGGTTAGATACCTTGATCAACGTGGAACCCGAAGGATCGCGCTTACCACTACCAAAAACTTCTTACATAAAAGCGTTGAAATGAGTCTAACTAGACTGCTTTTTGATACTTCGATGCTGAAAAAAAGAAAATTAGCCCGCAACACAAAAGTGTTACAAATTGAAGTGATGGAAGCTAACTAATTTCAAACTTGGTCTAAATTTTAACAAAAAAAATTTTGATATTATTAGCCTAAAAACAAACAATTTTGCAAAAATTTCATTAATCAAAAATGATTCATGACCAATTATTGAGCACTCGGAGCATTCAAGGTTTTGCCCTTATACGAGTTTTTTTGATCTAAACAAAGTAAATTTGCGCTCGACACCATTTTTGACATGTGGTAATTCGCTGGTAACTTTTCATTTCGTATCTGTAGATAATTCCATTTTTTGTTAAGTTATCATGACTTTTAATCAGCTAGCAAAGTTTAGCCATGATTTTTTTCGGGCGCTTTTTAGCTGGGTTTTGTATAATTTCAGATTGAATTCAATCGATTGAATGAGCTATTGATATTTAATTTCGAAATTGTTGAACGCTTTGTTTTCCCTTTTCTAATCAACTAACTTTTTTGGCTTCTTTCTAGACACTTGAAGATGCAGTGCGATAAAGGACTGACAATCCATTGTTAACTATCCTCAATCATTGGTATTTTTTTGCCGTATTTATTTTTAAATTGAGTTTGTCTTTGTTTCTCCACGAAAAACAGTCGAAGTGGAATATAGAAAAAATCATTGATCTTTTGAATTCTTAATTATCTTGCGTCAATATTTACATTCAAAGTTTTCAAAAACACTGTACTGTTTTTTTTCTAGGAAGGAAGAAAAAATTTTTTAAAATGCGCTGAAATTATCGATGTTTTGGAGCATTTTTGGTTGATCAAACAGCTGTTTTTTTTCAAATATTCCTTACTTTTTGAACTGGAGGTCTTTTAAAGAGAAAAAATTCTTTTATAGGTGTTTTGGTGTTTTTTGTGATTTTTCGTATAAAAGGGATCAATGCAATGTAATAGATCAGAATTAATCTGATTTTTAGTTGAAAAAAATACGTTAAGTACATGCCCGTTAAACACGTGCACGTTAAGTACATTCCCGGAAAACACGATAAAAATTGATAGATTTAATTTTTCGCTCAATTACACTCTTGTTTTTCACATACTTTTTCCATTATCTTTAAATCAGAGCAACGCAATCTTATATACAACAAAAGAAGACTCAATTAGAATGATTAACTACTACAAAAGAAACTCAAGAGACCCGAAGAAAACTTTAGAATAGTCGTTTTACCATTTGAGGAATAAAAAGATTGATATAAAAACTGTGGTCTTCTCGAAGTTTTAATATTAAAGAAAAGAAAATTTCAGATTTTTTTGAGGTTTAAGAACAATTTGTGAAGCAGGCTCATCTCGATTTAAAATAAGTCATTCAAATGATGCATATTGTGATTTGGAAATGCTGAGCAATTGAGCAATTTTTTCCACTTCAAACCTATGTAAGAAAATCAAACTAAAATTTTTTGATTCAGACTTTCGAGAAATTAAAGAACGTATTTGCTAGGAGTGTTTTTTTTTATTGAGACCAATTTTCAAAAATTGATCAATCTACTGGGATCAATTACCTGATCTTCATGTTACACGAAAGGTGTTACCACTATATTAAACTTCGTATAAAGAAGCGTTGAAATTAGTCAAGCTAACTGCTTGCTTGGTTTATACTTTGATGCTGGAAAAGTAATTAATCCCACAACACAAAAGCGTTCCAAATTGTAAGCTTTAACGTTTGATATTATCAGACTAATTTTTATAGTTTTCTAAACTTTCATTAACCAAAAGTGATTCAAGACTAGTTATAGGGCAGTCCCAACATTCAAGTTTTTGCTCTGTTACAAGCTGTCTTGATTTTATAAAGTAATGTTTGCGGTCGAGCCTTTAAAAAAACTGAGTGGTGCAGAGCAATTGTTTTGTTTTAACAGTGGGTCAGAAAGGTAATTGCAAGAAAAAAGTGTATACTTAAGTTTTATGGGAGCTGAAATATTTAAAAAACTATATATATATATATATATATATACGTGAAAAGGGCTATGTTCATTTGTTGTTAATCTTTCCTTTTTTCTCTGTATTAGAGGTTTTCAATTCTTGAGTTCTATGTTTTTTTAATAATCTTACAAGTATTAGCTATATTTTTTTGGGGCTCTTCATCTGAATTTTGAAAAATTCAGCATTGCACGTAGGTTAGCGAATTGGTTTTTTGATATTTTATCGCAAAAATGTAGAACGCTTAGTCTTTATTCTTTTTTGATCCACAACATGTTGTATTTTTTTTCCATACGACGGTTATTTTATTCCTCAAAATTCAGCTTAAGTTTTCTAGACATTCATAAGTGTTATTCATAAGATTGAGAAAACAAATATAATGTAGTAAATTGCTAGCTGTATCTCCAAGTTTTTTCCCGGCAGAATTTTTCATAAAGCTTCTGAGTGTATTCAAGTTTAACTGACACAGATCAAAATAACTCTTGTCGTCATATGTCATAAAAATTTTTCCCATGTATTATGTAAAAAATATTTGTTGTAATTTTTCATTCAATGAAAAAATGCTTATCATACGTTTTCATAATATTTCATGAAAAGAAAAATTGCAAGAAAACATTAAAAAATTTTTCCATACAATGAAACTTATTATAAGTATTTTTTTTGACGTCCTGGATTTTTTTAAGGAAAAAATTTTTTTGCCAGATTTTGTTGCACTGAAATTTCGATGGGATCTCAGATGTGAGAGAAACTATAAAATCATTTTAAATACCAAAAATAAAAAGTTAATTTTGTGAAATAGCTTGCCTTTTTTAAAAAACATTGAAATTAGTCTTTTTAAACATAAGGAGTTGAGCGTGTGAGACTTTCTTATAAAGTTGGTCTGACGCTGTACATTTTTCGGAACGGAGATCAACAAACTAAACTTATTGAGCTCTCAGTACACACTGATTTGAGGTTTTCGAGGTTTAGGGGAATTGAGGCTTTCTCTGAATTGAGGCCTGCTGAAGTTTTCATAAAGCTTCTGATTGTATTCAAGTTTAACGACAATGACCAAACAACTCTTTTTACTATTGGTAATATATTTTTTTTGCCATGTATTATGTAAAAAATCCTTGTCCTACACTTTCAATCAATGAAGAAATGCTTATCATACTTTTTCATACTACTCCATAGACGGAAAAAATGTAAGAAAAAACCAAAAAAAGTTTTCCATACAAAGAAAATTAATGTAAGTATATCTCGGCGGAACCC